TGCAAATATGATCCTAACTCAAATCAGAAAGTGAGAAGATAAAAACCACACGATTAACAGTCATCTGTGAGGAGTCTGGTTTGAGTGACTATCATTGCATAGGTGCTCTGTAGGTAAAAATCCCATTCTCTAGAGCATTCAGCTACATAAACTGACCATATTTCCTCTTGCTACAATTCCTTCAGTGCACAGACACGCAGACAAGTTACTGCAGGGGTGTCAAACTTGGCTGGATCTGGACCTGGCTAGATCTGCAGTTCCAGCAATGGCAACAGATGGGGTCTGGGTGCAGCAGCAGAAATCTGAGAGCAGTTTTTGCTGAGGTTGCCCACAGCCTGTGCTATGCTAAGCTGTGGTGCAGCTCCTTCACCACCACCTGTGAGCTGCCCTGCAGCTGCTTCACACTGTCACTTCTGTCAAGCTGGGCAACCCAGAGGCGGTGGTGAAGAAGCCGCACCACAGCTTAGCGCAGTGCAGGCTCTGGGCAGCTTCAGCAGAAACTGCCTGGTCCCAGGCCAGAAGCCTCTGCTAGGCAGGGGCTTCCAGCTGGGGGAGGTGGGGCCAGGTGGGCCTTGCTGTTGCAAGGTCCTGCTGTGGTTTCCCCTGGGTCCTACTGCCGCTGGTTCCTGTCATCTTTGACAGGAAGCCAGGGGGAGATAAATATTAATTTTCTAAATTTTTTAGGGGCTCTATAGGTGTGACAGAATGGCCTGGCAGGCTGGATTCAGCCCATGGGCCATATTTTGTCCACCCCTGAATTAAATCATTGGACAGATTGTTCTTTTATTAGACCAACTAAATAGTTGGAAAAATTGTTCTTTGCAAGCTTTTGGGCACAAACACCCTTCTTCAGGCATAGGGAGAGTCTGATGTTATATTGTATGCATTCCTGTGTAGAATAGATGGTGATGTGGAAAACGCAGGTCTATGAAAATGCAAATGCATGGCAGTGAAGATCAGAGGGAATGGGAGGATGGGTGGCTATCACCCTAAACACACCAAAGCTGTAATATACAGCCAAACCCTCCAATACCAGCGAATCTGCACTGAGGAGAATACCCGCGATCATCACCTCACAAATCTCAAAAGGGCTTTCACCCAACAAGGAAACTCCTGCAGAGATATGGATCATACTTTTAAAAGAGCCACTCAGATACCATGTGAAGAAGTGCTACAGTATAAAAAGAAAATCCCCCATGATTCGCACATCATTAGTTATAACCAGGGATCCTAGTTTTCTCTGATTAAAAATTGCAAATTCCCTGATTAAAAACCCAAAATCCGTGATAAAAAGTAATGGCCCCCCAATCCCCCCTCAGCATTGCTGGTACCCCACACTCCCCCACAGTCTCAACAGCTCTCCTGATGCCCTTCACAACAGCCCCCCAAACCCACAGACATGCAGACACAGACACTGACACTGACCCCAGCAGGTAAGTGTGTGTGGAGGGAAGGGGCAGGGCAAGGCAGGAGAAAGGGAAGGTGCTGGGGGGGTACATCAAGAAGTGGGGGACTGTGCCCCTGTGCCCACTCCCACAAGCAGGACCAAGGGGTGAGGGCAGGGGTGTCACTCTGTGGGCCACACACATGCCAGCCAGCCTGACAGGAGGTTCGCACACAGAGGCTGCCACTGCGCCCTGCACTACCATCCCACGGCTACCTGCACGGCTTTGTGGGCAAGTGGCACAGGGCGTGGCAATGGCAGTGCAGTGTCAAGCACCGCATGCAGGCCACATACGTGCTGCCCAGCTGGGGGGTGGAATGGGGGACTTGCATGCAGCAGCATGCCCCGCAACCAGCTGCACGGCTTTGTGGCAGTGCGGGGTGGTGGCGGCTGCATGCAGGCTGGGGGGAGCTTTGCGGGCAAGCACTGCCATCATGGAGCCATGCCCTTCACCCCTGGATCCTAGAGGTAAGTGGGGCTTGGGGTCTGTGGGGCAGGGCTGGGGAAGATGATTGGGGGCTGAGGGAGTGGGGGGGTGCTGCTGGCCCCAGGCAGTATATCACAGCTGGGAGCAGGGCCAGGTGATGAAGGCAGGGGTGTGCCTCTGCGGGGGGTCTTTGCGGGCAAGCGATGGGTGCAGTGTGGTGGTGCCTACTATGTGCGGGCCACACACAGGCCGCCCGGCCGCCTGCCCAGGGGAGGGGGAGAGGGAGACTGGCATGCGGCCAGAGCACAGCTCAGTGGACAGTTCTGCAGCTGCAGTGAGGGATTGCGGAGGAGGGTGGGGGCTCTTATGTGGCTGCTGCTTACCTGGAATACCATGAGGATGGTGATGGCCACTGCCTACAAAACCTCCCAC